TATATATATATATATATTATAATAATGAGATTAAAGTGAATTTTAGATCGTGCAGAATATTTAATAGTTTACCTAATCAGTGGAAATCTATTCATTTGACACGGATTATGCAGAATATTTCGCTATTCGACCTCTGCTTAATTACAAATTAATCAGCCGATCACTCATATGCCATACGCATACATATCGTAATACCGTAATGTAGCGTGCAAATTCGGCATAATTTCATTGACTTCACTAATCATGTTGCACCATCGTGCAAGTACGCAATATGATATTCGGATCTTCACAAATTTATCAAAGCTGATAGCAGGTTCGGTGTTCATACTACTCTCCCGTAATTTTGGTGTGAACACATCTATATCAAATTTCGAAGAGGCTATGAACTAAATTCAATTTCAAATTGCATCGACCGCTTGTTTGAGTGCAGTAAAATTAATTGCTGCCACTTTGCTATCTCAGCGAGGATATGGGCATAAATTTTAATTCACGCTACCAACTCGAGAATTGTATAATATTCTACGTAACCGCACGATTAATCACACACTCGGAGATATCAGTTTCTTCTGTTTCCACCGGTCTTCTAGAAGATGGCTTTGGAGCCAAGGTCCTAAAGGAACGCCTCGGTAGAAAAAGGCAGATGCGAAATGAGCTGTCAAGCGCTCTCCGGAGAATCCTTCTGTGTATTATACATGGCCACGCGCAAGCGGGCCTGTTAACTACATCTTGCGACGAGAGAGCTTTGCAAACTCCTCACGCCCCGTCTTACGTCGACGATGTAAGGACGCGGAGATGAGGAGAGAAAGAGAATGAGAGGGTCAGACTTGACGGAGCACAGTGATGCCGAAGAGGCGAGGCCAGACTTTAGTGTCATAGAAGGGATAGAGGCGGGTCGACGTGTAGTCCTCCTGGAGCCTGCGGCTACGATTATTAATGGGTAGGGCGTGACACCCCGCGAAATAACCTCTCTACCACCACTTCTACACACACACACACACACACACACACACACACACACACACACACACACACACACACAACGCATGCCAGAACCAACCAACGGCCAACTACTGCTCCAACTCCGAGTCACTTGTCTCCTCATAGGCATTAACTAGGCTAAGAACCACTCATTTTCGAGAACGAACAGTCCGCCACTCACACGCTCTTCTACGTTCCCATCAATCACTTTTATCTGATTGATCTGCTATTCCATCATTTTACATTTATTTCTATGTTTCTAGTGTCTCGCAACAAACTTAGTCTTCCTTTATTCGAGAGTCCTTTTAAATTTTTTATTCTGTAAAGCGAAACGTGCTTATATTACAGCGTAGAGATACCGGAATACGGTCTTATCGACGATTTTAATTTTCTACGAGAAGAGAACGAAAGTGAAAAGATCACAAAGTAAGAGAACGAGTAGAAATAGAAGGAAAAAGAGAGGTGTCGTGCGAGAAAGCCCTTCAGGCGAACACGATGAGATAGTACCGAGTAATGGTGCTTCATCTCCAGTCCAGTTTGCACTTAATTAATAATCACGGGCATATCTCGAGAATAATTAATTGTAAAGAGGTGTTCTACTATATCGTTAAAAAGGTATAATAATTGGAAAGAAATGGTAAAAAAAGTCTATGCTGCTATAACTACGTCAAGCAGGATTTTGTTGCAAAGGAACCAAAATCATTCCGTTTTCTTTTTCATTTTCGTAAATTCTACGTCAGAAGCAGCAGCTTTCATTGCTTGGTATAACTGTTATACCCAACGCCAACAAGTGCGGTTTACATTTACATACTAAACTGAAGAACTGTAAAGTTTATTTAAATATTAATATTGCGTCACATTTAAACTGTAATATTATTTTATCTGTTTTGCGAGAATAAAATAAAGACTGACTGTAATATTTCTGTCTACTTTATCTGGCATACAGGGATATATCACATCTTAACTTAAAAAATGATACAATTTAAAAAACACTATTTTCAAGAATGAATGAGTTAGGTAAATATTTTACGCTGCAATATAATTTTATCTATTTTGGTAAATAAAATAAAAGCTGACTATAATATTTCAAATACTTAATATTTTTTTATCTGGCGCTCCTTCATTTAAAAAATGACAAAAACGAATAACCTAATTTTTTAGTTATTATGAACGAGTTAGGAACATTATCCTATTAATAAATTATTTCATAAAAAATCGATAACATCACAATTCAAGAAGACTGATTTAAGAATTGAAGAAATGAAAATAACGGAAATAACATTTGATTATATTAAGAATAAATTATTTTTGCTAATATTATTTGATTAATCTTTCTCAATAATTTTCTGTCAATTAGAAAAATAGTTTTTCCCTTTTTCTTAATTTTATTAAGTTATGTTATTTTGAAGTCAAGGAACGCTATATGTATATATAATATAATTTATTAGAACCATTGCCAAAGATGGTTGTAAGCTTCCAAAGCTATTACAGTTAAAGAGGGAACATTTGAAATCCGATGGCCATTTCATGCAAAGCACGACTCGAAGAATCGATCTTCGATTGATCAAGATATTAGGATGCGATTCGTGCGACGATCATCAAAGATGACCACAATTCTCAGCTCGCAAATTACTCACTTTGATGGACATCATTAGTGCCAATTGCATGCATAAACGGATAGACGAGCCAAAGTCGGATACGAAACATTTCATGCATAGAGCTACATGAAATTTCAGAACGTGGATCGACTCTCGCAATGGCAAACTACTTTCAAATGCGACCCTCGAGCGTCCGACTACTTGTCAAGCAAATTCGCATTACTTCCAGTATTATGATCGCTCTTGTAGTTACTAGCATAACACCTGCGGTAATAACTCTCCGACTTGCGCATTCCGCATACTCATCATGATGGTAACGGTGGCTTAACTCTAACTCTACTTGGTTCATACCTCTTGCAGCAGATAATAAGATGCTTGTTTTGCCGATAATATGTTTCCGTAGGAGGAAAATAGTTAAGAATTTCGTCATAGCCGGATATTGATCGAACACGTCTAATTAAAGAGTAAGTGCCAAAGGGCGCGCGTGCATACGAATTTAAATGAAGCGTCTGATACAAACTACGGAGATCTAACTTTCTAAATTGCCTTTTGCAGCGAAACAGAGTAGCCGTCGGTCGAGCAACTAAAGATTATTAACGTCGTTTCGCAAAAAGGAACTAGGTAGATTATATGTCGCGACCAAGCATTTCCTTGAGTGCTCCCTCGTCAAACTTTGCCGGAAGAAGATCGAACTCTCGTATTGGGCCGACTTAAGGTAATCCGCCGTAAATAATGCACATCACCTATATAGATGCGGAGTCTGTGAGCCGCTCTGCCCTGAGCGCGAAAAGCCGCCGTGAAAACTCGTTGAGCTCCTTCGCCATAAGTTCGAAAGACGTTTCCCCAACCCATAATATCGACCGTCTTGCAGTGGCATCACCCATCCGCCACTATAAAGCTTGTGTTTAGCGGCATTTCCCACAAGAGCACGCGTCATCGACTCGATTTACGTGCTATTTCGTCGTGATACGAAAGTTTCGTGGTTTACATTATCGCAAAATAAAAGAGAAAAGCATTAGGGAGAAAACAGCAAAAATCCAAGAATAGATCAATAATTGCGGAAGCAATACGCTGAAAATTGCTGATCACCGAACAGAAAAGCAGTTCAAACTAAACATATCCGGCAATTTTCCTGGATTATGGATTGCATCGATGAATTAGGACAATACATTCAGTTGTTTAACCGAATTAACTCGGATGAAATCGTATCAATATTTAGCTATGCCAATCCCACCGAAGAATGATCATATTTGTCTATTTCCCATCAAATTGTACATAGTATGATTTGTAACTTTGAATATGAATGAACTATCTATCAACACGATAAATTAATTCTACTACCTCGTGCCTGATATTTCCAGTAGTAAAACTTCCCTTCCTTTATATTGCTTCCGTAACAAAATTAAAAGCATAAAAATTTGCGCGCTATGGCAATAATGTACATTTTAAACATTAATTTGACTATACCATGAGAATGAAGAAGATTACAAATAAAGAAAGGAGAATTTTGTGACAGTTCGGCTTGCTGAAGAAAGAAATGGGTCAACCTGTATATTCCCAACTTTTATATGAATACACCATGCGTTCTAGACAGAAGCACACGAAACAGGTTACTCACAAGAAACAAAAAGTGTACGAATAAATACAGATGACAGCATAAGAATAAAGGCAGCAGCATTTTAGTAGCATCTTAATGACACTTTAATATACATATATAGTCATCCCTTCCACATTTCATTTTCACATTTCTTTCTCCCCTGCATCGAGGGAATCGATTATTTTCTATTAATACAATCAAAAATGTCATTTAGTGCAAGAATCTCGTTGGCAAAACGGAAATGGAGACCAAGTGAAGATCACGAAGAACGATCGAGCAACCCGTCAACGGCAGCATCTCCAACTCGGTCGCGTCCGGCGCCAGTTATTTACCCTGATGAAATCACAGCTTTGTATTCCTACACGATCGATTGGCGCAAGAAGATGTGCGGAGAAGAAAGCGACCGACCTCTTGGAGCGTGAGGTAGATGGAGGTGGCAAGCTAAGAAACGGAAGGCGGAGCAGGAAAGAAAAGAGAGACCGGTAATAGGCATTGGCGCCGTTGAAAAGCCGTGGAAAATCAATTATCGACCGTGCAAAGGAGTGGAAAATTATATCGATAGGCGTCGTCTGTCCCCACGAAGGTGATACCCCACTGGTATCCTCCGCTGCTTTCCTTCAAGTCTGCCAAACGCTGTTATCGGTAGCGAGCAGAGTCTGATCCTTTAACTGTGATTTCAAGTGCGACTGATTGCTTGGCTGGGTGAATTCTCTCTCCGATACACAATTATAAGAGAATGATGAATTATCGCCCGAGGCATTCGAATCGCGTGAAGAATGGTTTCATCGCATCAGAGAAACGAACTTTCCCGCTAATTTTAATTACTCCCCTTAAATTTCATGTAAAACTTAAGCAAACAATGTTTTCCATTTGCATCCGGAAAATATATTTCTCGGGAAAGACATTGATAAATAATTTTTAACTGTTTATTTATATGGTTTTTAATGTATTCATATATTTATATAGTTTAATTATACACAGCTTTTAATGAATTCAATTTATACATTGGGCGATTTTTATTTATTAATGTTTTTGATATTTTTTACATCGATATTGTCACGTTTCTCTCGTCTCGCATATCAATGACGATATGGAAATGCGTTGAAATACGAAAATATTCAAAGCGGAAGCGTACCGTTTAGCACGTGGACGGATACTATAGTGGCTGCTGCTACGTTCGCCAGAGCACAGCTATAGTTCCCGCTGTCCTTTTTATTCGCATTTGCAATGTAGAGCCTAGACACCGCACCAGCTGCACCCATGTCCGTCTTGACGCTGGAACAGAAAGCAAAATATGCTCTGTATAAACCTTGACAACAGTGTCGTTATTGCGCGTGTTTCCACGTCGAAATAAAGAACAGATGCTTCTCTTAGAATTTTTTCGAAATGGTTTTTCGAAGGAGAAATAGAGTAAAATATAGTGAAATAAAGAACAGATGTGCTTCGTTCGGAATTTTTTCGAAACAGTTTTTCGAAAAAGAAACATAACGAAAGTAACATGTGCAGTTCAAGATATAAAAATGTGCTATCTAAAATAAATATACATATATTCCACAGTAAAAGCCTAGGAAACACTTTTTGAAAATTGACATTTTTTTAAATTTTTATTTACAACATAAGTGTTTTTTAACAATAATTCTCCAATAACGTTTATTAGGTGTAAGTTAGGTTTAAAGAATTATTGTTAAAAAAACATATTGTTATGAATATTTAAACAAGTAACCCCAATGTCAATTTTTAAAAAGTATTTTAAAATTTTTTGTTTGAAATGTATAAGACGAGATAAAAAAAAAGATGCTCACAGATGAATGCAATCTCTTTTTATCTTTAGATTTTATTTAACTGATTAACAAATTCTTACTTTGTACAATTATTGCACACACACACACACACACACACACACACACACACACACACACACACACACATTATTTTAAAACATTGAAAGTAATGCTGATGACAGACGACGATAATTTAGCGATAGCAGATGATAGTAAGGACGCTCTTGAAGAGTTCTTTGAGGGAAAGAATATTAAACTAAAGGCAATTTATATCAGAAATTTATCATTTCTTTTCATGTCGACGAAAAACTTTTTTTTATATTACACTGTAATACTGGATAGTAAACAGATTCGCTTCGCAGTTCACAACCACATTGTGCAGACAAACAAAAATAACCACCCTCCACATGTAACTCCTAAAAAATTATACGACGCAAATCTCTCTCCGCAAAAAAAGCTTATCTGAAACGTACATAAAAGAGAGAGAGAGAGAGAGAGAGAGAGAGAGAGAGAGAGAGAGAGAATATCTCATAAAATTATACCCTATGAAATATTATTTATACTCAAATCCATTTATTACTTTGAAAATATTCATACGAGGATATATTATGAATAAATAGAAATAATTAAAGAGAAAGCACAGGATTCTATACATTTCAGAAATGTATAGATGGCAAAAGCGTACAGTGTACGTAAATGTAAACGTAAATGTATCGGTTAATATTTAAATAAGCATGGTATTTGATATATAATTTGATATATAATATAAATAACTGAGTTTGTTAATTTATAGACAAGGAATTAGTTTTTCTTGTCCTTGCTCAAAATACCTTATAGTGGATTTAACGAGTTTTGCAACTACAAGCCTCGAATATAATCGTTTCTAAGAGAACTTTCTAAGAATCAGAAACTCGTTAAGACTCTGCGGGGAAATATTCAGGAGGCAAAAGTTATGCGGGTAACGAATCAGTCGAAACCTTCATACTTCGAAATAGGCGTTATTACTACTTCGATGCGTAGGAAGATCGACAAACTTCGTAGTGAATGAGCAAATTGCCACGGTGGTTTGTATTTTCACGGCGACGCTGTCATATTTAAACCTGTTTACAGGCAAAAAGTAAGATAAAAGTTAGCTTTTAACACTTAGGACCATTCACGTCTCCAGCGAATTAAACTGATGAAATAGGGCATTCAAGGGAAGAATAAGAGAAAGGCGGAGAAAGGCAAAGAGGATGTTCCGTGAGTGAAGATGGAAGAAAGGCGTAAATCAAGTAGTTCGCCTTCCAGCAGCTGGCCTTGACAGATCGGGTACTCCTCCCAAGCTTTCTTACCATCGATCCCGAGCAAAAAGAAAGAGAATAGAGAACGGCGCGGCGTGCACATTGCATACGCCCACGCGGTAATGCCGTTCGTATTAATTTCACACGACGTTATCTTGTTCAAATTAACATTTGAGGCATTGCTTGCAAAACATGTCGTACGAAATTAAATGAAATTCACTTGTTGCGAGCCTATGTGAAAGTTTGAAGAATTTCTTATTCTCGGCTCAAAGAGCCGAGATATGTTATGCCCGAGAAAAATTGGATCCTCGGAAGATAGTAAAGGCGAGGAAAACTGCTGCACCGCGATATAAGAAAAACGAGGAAAAAAACGAGCTGTCTCTACTTTGAATTTTTGAATGTTTAACGATGCGTGATGGTTGCTTTAAACATACACACTACATATGTCTTCCACATATCCATTTCATAGAAAGACCTCGTAAAGAAAATAGGACAAAAATAAAATATGAAAGTAAGAACTACGTTATGAATGTATATATAGAAAAGAAGTGCGCCTATATAGAAAAGAAGTACAGAAAGAGATCTTGTGTAACATGAAAATAGACATGCCGATGATGCCAGAAAAGTCAGAAAGAGAAGAATGCGATACAAACAAATAAAAGAACCATTAGATTAGCTTTAAGAATTCATTCGAATGGTCTAGACATCGCAAGACATATCTCCATTTTCTTTACTATTTCACCAACGGCCACATCGTGCTTCATCATCATGCCGCAAAACTGTTAGGCAAGGTTATTCCTTTGAGAGTAGCATGTTGAGCACTTTCTCAAGAATGCAACGAGCATTACTGTTAAGAAACTGTTAAAGCACTTGTTGCCATATCATTATCGTTACCGTTAATACTGTTCCGTGTTTCCACCTTTTTCAATGCTATTGTATTATAGCACGTATGCTCGAAGTCCACTAAAACTCAACTAATATGTACTCCGTAATATATAGAGCCTTTAACCTTCCAAAGCTGACGTTAAAATCTGTAACACAATTATCGACACTGAGTCTATGAGATCCATTTAATTTATGTTGACTAAAAGGCATCAATTAATCTCAAGGATTCAGAATGACATAAATCCTATAAAAAAAAATGAATACTAAATTTATTGAAATAAATGAAAACGGCCATATTCAAAATTGATCTTGGTCTAAATTTATTTTCATAACAATAATTCAAATTGGCAAATATAATTGAAGAATATAATTAAGCAAATCTTATCGTCACTTCCGAAAGATTAAATATCAACGGTTTTCAATTATACATCGGTGATCTTTTTTAATTAGAATATATATTGTTGAAAGGAAAGAGAGAGAGAGAGAGAGAGAGAGAGAGAGAGAGAGAGAGAGAGAGAGAAATATTTTACAGAGAGAAAAGAATGCATACAGCAGTTAGCGAGTGCGTCAAGAGTGATTCGTGTACTGCATGCATAAGCGGTCGCTTTGCCCATCAGAAGGGCAATGCAGTAACTCGCGAAACATTGATCCAGCCATTCTAGTACGTCCAAAATTTTCCAACGATTGGCATCCGGGGACAGATCACATGCCATTTGCCGTTGCACGACCACTCTCACATGCGGGGATAGACATCCGTCACACTGCGTTGCGTATCGCATGGCTATTGTATGCGGTCATGTAGGGTCGTAAACACTTGTTTTATTATATTTCATTTAACCGGAAATGTATTTTCGAATTTGTTCCTGATATCTGTTGACACGTCGTCGTTCAGTTCAGCGTCGAACGAAAACGTCAATGAATCGTGCTGCTCGCAGCAGAATTTAGGACGGAAAAGGTTAAATCAGTGATGTGGGAGATTAAATATGTGTACCGCGCGAAAAAATCGACGACATGCTTCCGTGAATTTTTCGAATTTTTACATGTGCTGTGTTCACACTTAACTTGTTGTGCAAAAAAATAGAACCGAATAGTATTCCTCTGTACGTAACTCTTCCGCATAGCTTCTCTATACTCGAAAGAATTTAATTTCGTGCATTGTTCTTAGCTCGCTTATGTTGCACGGAATATCTTGTAGATAAGAAATATACTCATGAAGGAAACCTCTTTGAAGATATATGCTTCAAGTATTCAATATCAACGCTTAATAAACGAACTTCTCGATAGTATCACTTTTCCTTCAATTATCTATCATTCAATACGTTTTAAATTTTATAAGATTAAATGAAAAAATGATTAAATTATTATTTTTACTGTTATTGACATATCTCATTGAATTTTTAAAAAGAAGCGCAGTATATGATTTTAAATCAATGAATTTGACTTATATATTTTTTTGTAATAAACAAATCAATATGCCTCATTCAATAACATGATCCGTCATTTTCAAGTCAATGTAACATTTTGTGTCGTATTTTAGTGCACACAGGACAAACAGTTTATCGTATACCGAACTATTCCGATGGAGAATTTTAATTTTAATTTATATTGTCTTTCTCTCTTTTTCTTCGCCGAATACGGATCTTTTTTTTTCATCATACCATGGAATTTAATTTGAGCATAGAATGCAAAATTTATTCTCAAATTCTTCTATACGCAAAACTCCTCCTCCTTCGTGTTCGACCTAGAAATTTTTTTCGCTTACGAATCTGCAGTGAATTTCATAGCGCCAGTCGAGTAACTACAGAAATTTAAGAGCTCCCAGTATATTTTGTTTCTCTCGCTGATTATTTTCTTCTTTTTTATTGCGTGAGCAATATGCGTGAGATGCTCATATTCATACGAGCATCTTTTAACATTAGAACCAGCGATAACGACGTGGCTTTACGAAGACCGTAAAAGGCTTGTGGCGCCAAATTAAAATGCGCAAAAAGATAAAAAAAACAGCTTGTGAAAAATACTTTTATGGATCATTATGCAAGAAATTGTCGATTCGGTTCAATTAGATAATTATTTAATGGATAATTTTTGTTTCTCGATAATTATCTTATCTACAAAAGAATCCCACAAAAGACATTTTATATTAGACAAGAGATTTTTTGCTTCGAAATTATGGATCATATTTGTTCAAAATTTATTTAAAGATCGTAAAACGCGAAATTTTACTCGTTGAATTAGAAGAATAAAGAGTTAAAAGAACAAATAACTAGGAAAATATTTTTGTGAATCATCGCGCAAGAGGAAAGACTGGCAATTTAATTCGATAATCATT